CATTTATATTACAATGCTAAACAGCATTATGGCATGTGCGCATTCAATTGAATAATACAATTAAGCTGTATCTGTCGCCCCCTCTCTGTCTATCTGCATGTCTGTCTGTCTGGCTGTCTGGCTGCCTGCCCACCTGCCTGTCTGTCTGTCTATGTGTGTGTGTCCGTCTGTTTGTCTGTCTGTCTGTCCGTCCGTCCGCCCGTCCGTCCGTTTGTCCGTCCATCCGTCTGTCTGTCTGTCTGTCCGTCTATCCGCCCGTCCGTACATCTGTCTGGTCTGTCTTTGACTTTCTCCCTCCCCCCTTCTCTCTCTCTATAGCCCATACCAATATCGTAATGTTATCCGTATATGCATCGATCGAGGACTAGGAAGAGTAACAGTAGAATACGGGGAAATGGCGCTAGCAAGCGTTAAATACTGATCACACTGTTACCGCTACGTAACAATATTGGCGACGCGAGGGTGAGACAAAACGAAGAGGATACTGTGAGGGGAAAATATTGAAATATCGCGTCAGGAATATTAATAGCTGCTGGCACTGTGCGCTTCCGTTTCTTTCAACTCTTTCCCTCTCAATTCTCGCTGTGACAACGCATCTCCCTGGGCGGAAGTCTTCATCCATCGTACATAGCGAAATTTGATCGAATTTTACAATAAAATGATAGCATTCCATCTTCATCCACCAGACCGTTCCTTCGCTATATTACATTTATGATGATCTTTAACGACGTCAGGAGAGAGTCTGTTTAGTATAGCGACAGAGTACAGCGCGCGCAAACATACATATTTTAATAGATACTTATTACGAACACGTATCGTATTTATTTGTTTAATTAATTCTACATTATTTAGTTGTGAGTGAGGTTGGGTCATCTCGTGTCAAATCCTGTGCAACTTGTACGTAATAAAACGGAGATTGTGATGCCTGACCCTTCGCCCATCGGATCTAATGAGGCATTGCCTGTACCTCAGAACTAGAGTTCGATACCGTCATTATCCTTGCTGCTTGTATGCGGGCCAGCGGTAACGGCTTAATTCTAGGTTAGCTCGACGTTTCCCGTTTGTGCTCTGGTCTTCACTTGTCTCGCAGAGGCGTTACCTGACGTACCCGTCAATGTTACGGCAGCGGCGACAGCGGGGGCGGCTTTCTCGCTCTTCTTTTTCATCCGCTTCGCGGGTCTGTGCTTAGGTAAGATTGATTCTGGATTGATCGTACTCGATTCGTAGTTTGTTCTGTTCGTTGCGGAGACGCCGACCCTTTCTTCGCTTCGCAACTTGAGCCTTCTTGGCTCGACGTCGTCGCTGATTGGCTAGCGCCCGCCTCTTTGAAGTCGATGATCTTCGAATCGTCCGCGGCTTCGTCTCGCTGCGGTCTCTAGCTGCCGAGCGCAGCAGCGGACTTCGGTTTGCCTATGGCTTTTCTGCTGACCGCCCGCCTGACGTTGGCCGCAACCTTGCTGCTATTGACCGCTGCAGCGGACTTTAGTTTGCCAATGATTTTGTTGCTGGCCGCCCGCCTGACGTTGGCCGCAACCTTGCTGTTGATGACCGCTGCAGCAAAATTCGGTTTGTCAATGATTTTGTTACCCACCGCCCGCCTGACGGTGGCCGCAACCTTGCTGCTGTTGACCGCTGCAGCGGACTTCGGTTTGCTTGTGACCTCCGGTCGTATCTCGGCTCGGAGATAGACTCCGTGACGAATCGCTATCTGTCGTCTGCCTCTGCTGTAGCATCTGCCGTATACGTCTAATGATGATCATTCGCTGGCGCGCTTTCCGCTGCGTCTTTGCGAGTCGCCGTTCCTTCAGCAGAGACATGTTTGCGATTCGAACGCCATCGATTCTCCCGACGCGTCGGTTTTTCCCGCCGTCGGCTTCGACGTCGCGTCGGCGATAGTTGTCGTCGATGGGGACGTCGTCGCTGTGGTTTCCGTTGTCGGCATCGGTTGTGCTGATGTTTGCTATGCGTTGCGCTGACGTCGTGCCTTCCTCGTGTGTTTGAATCTCCAGCACTCTGTCACTTACGCTTTCCTGTGTCTCGTCTTCTCTTGTTGCGTGTGTCAGCTGTAGAAAAACGGGCACTCGTAAAATCGCGTTTCATACTACGTGCGATTAAATTTCAGGCAAGGAATAGAATTTTTTCAGAATTATTGTTTACAGTACGTGCGCAAAATATAGCATAACCTAATGACAACGAAACAGCTCGTATAATTATAGCTGTAATTGGCATCATTGTTACCTACCGTCAATAAAAGGGTCCACAGAGGAAACACATTCGGCGGATTGCCATTTTTACTGCTATCAACGTCTCCCTGTAAAATAAATTTAAATCTATGCCACCATAGAAGAAATGAGTTAGCTACGTAGGGTTGGCCGCCTACGCGGAAAAGATCAGATGAGCGTCTATGAGAGCTTGCTCTTATACGAACATCCGAAGGAAGTTCTCACATGATAGTCTTTGCAAGCGATTACGACACCTCATCTTTTACTACAATTAAATTAAAAGGAAAACTTAGGAAAATCATTAAACTGCTGACGCTATTCGCAGCGTTGCCATCGTGTTCTGTTTCTGTTCATCGTACACTTTCCCCCTCCATCCACGGCTGCTTTTTCGAGCTGATCACAGCTGCTATTGCGTTTCCTTCCTATCAATGCACTAGCTTACCTGATCCAATGTCTCTTACGTTTGACTAGACTGCGACGCGGTGCAATTCACGTGAACTTTTAGGGTTGCCGGATGTGGATACCTTATATATACACGAACACAAGTGACATGTGAACTAGATTGAAGCCGGTCTAACCTGCAAATAGTCGCTGGTGGGAATAATGGGTTAGGTAAGGGCATGCAACGCCCTCCCTAACTTCTCAACATGCATGAACTGCACTCGAACACCCGCTAATTTCTCTCGGCGAAATCGAAATTTGAAGGCAATCCCCAACACACACACACACACACACACACACACACACACACACACACACACACACACACACACACGCACGCGCTCCCTAACTTCTACACATGCATGAACTGCACTCGAATACACGCTAATTTCTCTCGGCGAAATCGAAATTTGAAGGCAATCCCCAACACACACACACACACACACACACACACACACACACACACACACACACACACACACACACACACACACACACATGCGCGCGCGCGCATTAAACACTGACTGGTGTGATCAGTAAAGAGCTGTCGTATTGCTACAAACTACCATTCGTCTATTTGTATTCATTATTCTATCATTCTGTCTAAACATCAATTGTCTTGAACGTACTTCTGCTGAACTTATCCTTCGTTATAACATGAATCAAATATCAGAGGGTGGCGGATCTGTTCCGCACAGTAAAGTTGGATTTCACTCATTAATTTACGTTATTTTCTCTATCACGCTGAATTAGCGCATTTTCAAGCTTTTATTATTACCATATCGCTGTTTCCGCATCGTTAGTGTAATTACGAAACAACTTGTTCGATTCGTGACAAACATTGTGCTGAATCTTTTTTCTTTTTTTGTGCGTAGCTTTACGAGAAGTGCCGAAGCCGCAGACGACAGAATCTATCGGACAGGAACGTGGCCGACGTGACGGTATACCTTCATCGCGTTCAGTTAATTGGACGCGACGATAGAGGCGTGGATAATTACTCCGCGGGCGACACTTTTTCGCTTGTAATTATTTTCGCATATACTTCGCGTACTCGTTCAACTTTGCATTGCTTTAGCAGGCGTCACGTTCATGACCCATAATATTACATATCAAATAATATTCGTCCGCAAAAAGTGTCAACATAACGCAGTCCGTTGCGTGTGAATGTATTCAGATTAGAAACGCATGCGGGGGACGCGTGCACGTGCTAGCGGTAAAAATATTCCTAAATTACCTGTCCTCTATTCAAAGACGACGAGCCTTTGTTAAGCGAATGTAAAACTTTGATTATAGAAAAGCCGTCAAATATTGACATGTAGCATATGCGCGTAGTCGTACACGCGCCCCGCATGTGCCCGTGATTACGTTCGTGGCTTCTCTATTCAGCTAGCCCGGGGTATTGCTTCGTGGCTGCATGTTGAGTAATTTACTTTCTATCTGCGCGCAATATCGCTCAATTTTCGTACCGCCTGTTTAACATGTGCTATCGGTGGCGCGCACGCGTTACCCTCATATACCTTGTCTTACCTTTCATCGCCTTACCTTACCTTACCTTACCTTACCTTACCTTACCTTACCTTACCTTACCTTACCTTACCTTA